CCTGAACCCACCCCACAACATCCCTACTCTGGGTTCTTGCTCACTGGCCACACTGTTTCTGCTAAAGGAAAACAGATGGTGTGGTTAATTGGGATGTCTTAGCGGGCTCTGGTCCTCATTAAGGCTGAGGGTGGGGACAATGAGTGATACATCAGGTCATAAACAGCAGCTCGAGGGGGCAGGTGCCCTGGTGCCCACATGCCCCAAGGACTGAGGGAGTAGTGGACAAGGCCACTGGTCTTGGGAGGGGGATCAGGCTGGAGTCCAACCTCTCCCTGATCACTGGGCTCTGAGCCCAAAGCAGAGCCCAGTGACAACTCCTGGGGGGTCCAGATGCTCACAGCTGGAGAAAGTGAACATTGACTGGGGTGGGAGTGTGGGGCCGGGTGAAGGCAGCAACTGCGGAGAAGGCAGAGAAGCCCAGGGAAGAGTGGGCAGGAGCTGCTGGAGTCAAAGAATGCCCTAGAGGCAAACCTGGGGCCTGCCTCTTCCCGCCAGAGTACCAGAGCCTGACTCAGACAGCCCAGCCCCAGAACCCCACAGAGGGACATGAAGGGAAGGCACAGCCATCCCTCTCTCCAGGGGGCCCCATGCTAAAGAGAGGCAGTGGTTAAGAGCCAGGCTATCTGGGTTCAAGCCCTGGTTTTGCCAATCACTAGCTATGTGATGCTAGGCTACTGCCTCAATCCCTCTGTGCCTCAGTTTCCCTACCTGTGAAATGGGATAACAATTCCCCTAGAGAATTGCAGTCGTTAATGAACTCAGAGCAGCACCTGGCACATAGTTCTTTGTGTTCCATTTAGGTTATTATTCTTAAGGCAAGAGTCCCTGTGTTGGTGAAATGTGGGAGATGCTCACCCCTCCCTACCACCAGCAACAGCAGAGTCTCTTGGAAGCTTCTCCTTGCGTAACCATCATTCCCAACCTCTGAAACACCTCCTTCACCCCACCAGGATCCCCAAGTGATGGGAGAGACAAGGGGTCCAACCCAACCCTGCCCAGAAAGTGAATGAGCCAGATGCATTCTTTTTTTTTTTTTTTTTTTTTTTTTTGAGATGGAGTCTCACTCTGTTGCCCAGGCTGGAGTGCAGTGGATCTCGGCTCACTGCAAGCTCCGCCTCCTGGGTTCACACCATTCTCCTGCCTCAGCCTCCCGAGTAGCTGGGACTACAGGCGCCACCACCATGCCTGGATAATTTTTTGTATTTTTTAGTAGAGATGGGGTTTCACCATGTTAGCCACGATGGTCTCAATCTACTGACCTCGTGATCTGCCTGCCTCGGCCTCCCAAAGTGCTGGTATTACAGGTGTGATCATGACGCCCGGCCGAGCCAGCTGCATTCTGAGGACAGTAATTATTGGGCACCTGCTGTGTGCCAGGCCTGATACTGATGTTTTATCTGCACTTCCCCCATTTAGTCTTCAAGGTAGGTATCACTCTCCCATTACATAGATAAGAAAGCTGAAGCCTTGAGATGAGTGTCCAAAGCCACCCAGAGAGCAAACAGAGAAGCTCGGGTTGGAACTCAAGACTCCCAACCCTCAGAATCTGTGATCTTTCCTCAGTAGCAGGGTGTGCTCCTAGGCCATTAATGTCACAAACACTGGGGGGCTTTTTTTCAATGCAGGGTCCTAAGACCCTCCCTAGAGCTAGAGAAGTGGAGTCTCTGGGTGGGATCCAAGGGGCTACCCCTGAATAAAATAGCTGCTTCTGGCCTTGGACCTCCTTCGACCTAACACAGCCCCTACTGCAGACAACTGGACCCTGAAGAAGGATAAAGGAGATGGAACCCAGTCAATCTGCATGCTTACCTCCGAGGGGATGGATGCAACACCACTTCTGTGCCCCCTGCATCCTCCTGGTGCTTGGGCCCCAACAGGCAGAGTGGGACAAAGGAGGGCAAGGAAACATCTCCAGTATGTTTTCCAAAGCACAGGGGGTGAGAGGAGCAAGAGGGTCAATGGGGCCTACCTCCTCCATCCATTGAGGGGTGCAAGTGAAATGCAGAGGGACTGATACCCTGGACAGTACCCAGGGGCTCCATCAACTGGGGGCGGAAGACCAGTCCTGGGGGTGGGGGAGGTTCTTTCAGACTGGCCTTGCTGCTTGCAGCACAAGGAGGACCCTCTGTCCACTCCTACATCTCCCCCAAACCCCCATGGATGTGATTGGACAGCCGCCCCAGGCGCTCTGTGCTGCGGGGGCAGCAGACGCTTGGTCCTCAGTGAGGAGTGGAAAGGGATCGGCACACATCACATCACACTTGGCACAGCCCCCATTGGTGGGCAGCCTGCCACCGTGTTGGTGAGCCGTCTCCCTGCAGAGCCTTCACAGGCGGCACGGGAGGGGCTTTCAGGGGAATCACTGCCTAACAGGAGTGGCACAGCCCCAGGAAGCCCCCAGACCATCCCTAGTTCCTGCCTTGCCTGGGCCCAACCAGAGCTGCAGAAAAGGGAGAAGTGCACTGGGGCTGGGAGATGAATTCCAGGCTGGGCCATGCTGGGGACCTCAGGCCACAACCAAGGGCTCGATCCCAGAGGGAGAGGCCTCCCACTAATCATATTCAGGTGACTGGAAGCTCTGAGGCTCTGGACCCTGCTCCCTGGAGATGTTAGGGAGGAGGGGGAGGGAGGAGTTCCTTGGCTCTGGGCCAGTCCACAGACTTCTCCCCAGAGGCCCAAGGGCTGCTGGGGGTGGGATAAAAGACCCACTATCAACTCCCACGTCCACCCACGCCCAAATAATACCCCAGTCTACAAGAAGCCAGGTCCCATAGAGTTGAGGGAGCTCACAGTCTGAAGGAGAAGACACTTCCTGCTGTCTGGGATCTGCCAGTCTGAGGGCAGAGACGTAGCCACTTCCTTCCAGAACATCAACCTCCCATTCTCCTCATTGTCTCCAAACAGGACTAACACTCTCCTGTCATCCCTTTCATCCTGATCTCAGTCCTTTCAGACTCAAGTCACTGCCCTCCTCATCCTCAGAGCCTTCCTGGACGACCACACAGCCCCAATCCCCCACCCTGGCACTCCTAGAGCAGCTAATTTGGTGGTGGACAGATAATTCCTAACGGCATGCAAAGAACTCACATTTCCTAGGCACCACCTGTACCAGAGGCCTGGTGGCAGGACCTTGGTCATGCAAACATGTCATATGATCCAGGCATGCAGGGAGCTTCCAGTTCAGGAGAATTAGGACGGACCAAGAAGATATAGTAAACTGTCAGTGAAACATCATCTTTTCCCAGACATTTCCGTGTGTGTGTGTGTGTGTGTGTGTATGTGTCCCCAGCTAGGCTGGGACTTTGTGAGAGGAAGGCAGGAACCCAGCTTAAATATCAGGCCACACCCCCATCTAAACTAAGTCCCTAGGATATTCTCCCAAAGCCCCATGTAATTTTCCCTCTCAGCACACATTACAGTTTATAATTCTTTTTGGTGTGACTATTTGCTTTCAGACTCTCCTTTTCCAGGCTCTACAAGAGCAGCTGAGTCCATGGCTTCACCCGTGTATCTTGAGCACCTGGCATATCTGATGAATGAAGGAATGCTTTGAATGAAAGCACCACATTCCGATTCATGCCCTTGCCCCTAGCACACAACCTGTAGGTGCTCAGTGCTCAGACTTGGCAGGATAGCACAGTAAAAAGAAGCCCATCTTGCCACAGCTAGGAATTCAAGGTCAAGCCCAGAGCAATCCCAAGGCAGTTCATCAAGGAAGACTTCCTGGTGGAGGAGGACAGGGACTGGGGACTTTCAGCCTCACATCTGTTCTTCCAGTTCATCATCTGTTTCTGGCAGGAACTCCTGAGGACAGAGGTTACGTCTGGGTCTCAGGGCCATCCCCAGCACACCCCCATTCAAGCTGCGCATGACCTGCCCCACTGTCGACAGCCAGCTGTGACTCACAACTCCTGAGCCTTTCCTCTTGGCCCGAGATCGTGGAGTAGATATTACAGAAACATTACTAACCACAAGTAGAGGCGGTGACCGTGCTTACGCTCAGAGCACCTCCCCCAACCCCTGAGACCAGAGCAATGACCTCACATGCGTGTTCAGCAGCAAGCACGGACAGTCCTGCCCGGAGGCAGGGGCATGGCCCACATGGCCCTGATGTTCCAGAGAAGCCCAGTGTCTGGCCTCTTCCCCTCAGCACTGGTCACATTCTCCCCACCTTCCCCACCAAGCAGCCCACCTCGGGTAGGTGCTGAGTCCCCTGCTGCTGCCTCCCCCAGCTGAAAGCAGAGTAAGAAGTCCCCTTTCCCCCCCGCCTCCCTGGGGTGGGCTGGAAGAAAGAAAGGGAAGTGACAAAAGCTGCCCTATCCCTGTCCTTCCTCACTGCTGGGTCTAGGACACTTATTCTGGGGAAAGTGGCGTCTGAGGATGTGGCTGCAGTGGCCAGTTGCTGGCGCCAGCAGAAATCCCCAAGCCCGTCAGTAGACTCTGTTCAGACGCGTTTGCTGACCATGGCACTGAGTAAGTGCTGAGGAGACACCTGAGGACCGAGGTCACACCCCTGCCTGCCCTCTCCTCCCAGACAGGCCCCTCCTAGGGCTCAGACCATTCCAGTTTCTCTTGTCAGACCCTGAGAAGGCCCAGGACATCCACCCCTACAGGAAAGGCTCAACAAGAAAGAAAGAAACACACAGGAACCGGGCTCAGAGCCCAGCTGCATGCTCTTGGGCAGGTTACTTAACCTCTTTAGGCCTCAGTTTCTCAACTATAAAATGGGACTAAGACTAGCTGCCTGTTGAGCTGTCGTGAGATAAGTGAGTGCACTGGCCTGGATCTGCGGATATTGGACAACAGCCAACAGCAGCCGGATGTGGCATTGTGCTGCTGCCTTTAGCAGCTCCAGGCAGTAACTACTGAGTATCAGGGAAGAACTGAGACCTCGGAGAAGGGAGAGAACCAGGATTGCTTGAGGCAGGGAGTTGGGAAGGCCCTACCTACCCTCTGGCAATTACAATCTAAAGGGAACAAAGAAGCTTTGTGGCAGATCCTGTCTCCTAATATCCATTCTTTGTTTATTCCCCAACTTTTAGCCAGACCCCCATGGAATAAAGACTATACTACCCAGCTTCCCTTGCAGCTAGGTGTGGCTAGATGACTGAATTCTGGCCAATGGAATATAAGTGTGTGACTTCTCCGAAGTTTCCTTGAAGGGAAAGGGCATGTCCTTCTTCAGGCTTTCTTCTTCCTTCCTGCTGGCTGGGGCTCCAGCAGCCATCTTGGGCAAAGAGGTGACCCTGGAAATGGAAACCACACCTAGCAGATCAGAAAGATAGAAGGAGCTTGGGTCTCTAACCACATGATCACATCCCGGAAATATTTTACACAAACAAAAAATTCACTATTTTTCTTGTGTAAACCAAAATTTAACTGATACAAGCTTCTCCTCTGGTGAAATAATCTCGACTCATGTGTGGCTGGGCAGAGTAGGATGAATGAGGTGTCTAGAAGAGAACAGTTACCAGGGATATGATGTCCCCATCCAGGAGAACTTCCTCCTACTTGCCCTGTGAGGCCAGGAGGAACGCTGTTGAGAGGACTTGGCTCGAGGATGGATGGATGGATGGAGGGAGGGATGGATGGATGGATGGATGGATGGATGGATGGATGGAACGGAGGAAGAGCCCAGGTAAATGCATGAGATGAGGAGAAATACCTAGAAGGAGGAAATACCCTGGAAAAACACTCCAGGTGACAGAGAACCAGGCTAGGGGTGTGGGGATAGCAGAACAGGACAGCCTACCTGACTCAGTGCCCAAGTCTGATTCTCAGTTTTCCCATCTGTGCTTTGGGAATGGGCCTTATTGCCTCACTCAGGGCAAGCGTGAAGTGATTCAAAAACCAAACCAAAACTAAACAGAAAATCAGTGTAGCATTAAATCCATTGTTGGCCCAGACAAAACCCTCCTCTGTGCCTGGGATTCCTATAAAGTAAGGATAACCGTGGACCCCACCTCACCTGGCTATTGTGAGTATTCGGCGAAAGGGCTACTGTAATGTGCTCATCATAGTGTCCGGCACAAGGCAAGTGCTCAGTAAGCAGTCAGTGCTCATTATTGCTGCTGTTGAAATCCTGCCCTGGGGTGTGAGGAACAAGGAGCTGCCACTTGATTGGTCTGTGGCATGAGTTAGGGAAAGAAACCTGGACTCCTCACTCCAGAACAATATCTCCAGCGCTTTGGGGACCTAAAGGACCAGGTAATGCCTTGGGAGCACCACACCATAAACACACATCAGGATCCTGACGGTATAAGATGGAATGGGGGTAGTAGGGAGACCTGGCGGGGTGGGGGCAGCCAAGGCTTAAATATTGGTCCCACTGCCTGGGACCCCTGGAGGGACAGCTGTCAGGTCAGGCCTTGACCCCCAAGCTCTCCTCCTTGGCCAGGCCAGGTCCACATTTGGTCACAAGAAGCTGGCAAGAGGCCAGGCAGGGCCACAGAGGCCATGGAGAGGGCAAACACAGGCCCAAGGGTAAGGGGGAAAAAATTGGGCTTGTTCTGCCTGGGCAAGAGAAGGCTCAGGGGTGACATCAATGCCATGATACGCAGTTAGATGAGTTAATGCCCAGGGATGCTCTTCCTAAAGTTCCCCAGAGAAAGTTGGGGGTTAAATGATGAGTGTGTTGGCAGATTCATACCCTCAAAAAATTATGAGTGTGACTACTGTTAACAATGAGCTGTCATTTCTCTCTGGAGGAGTGAAGGAGAAGAAATGATCTTACATTAAAGTCAACATGATTCCGGATGACCTAAGGGAGAATTCTGACTGCCCATGACATGAGTTCTCTGTGTGCAAGGAGCTGTGGATTGAGTCCAGAACTGAACAGGGCACACAGCTTCAGTGGCCTGTCCTGAAACCCTAGCACAGCCTCCAAGTTCTGGGCTTCTGTTCCCACCTGTGTTAAGTCGGACAAGGTAATGATTATGGAGAGGGATTTGGGAAACATAAAGAGATCAGTTTGAAGGCACTTTGGACAAGTTACCTAACTTCTCTGTCCTTTGTTTCTTCCTCTACTTGGAGGAAAAAAAAACAGAACTGGGCGCAGAGGGTTGCTGGGAAGATTAATTCAGTGGATGCTAGCTTAGAGCCTGGCACCCAGGACGAGCTCCATAAATATTCTCTAGTGGGGCTGCTATTTTTCTCCTGTCTGGGCAGGGATTGGACAGTATCACTTGAGTTCTTTTCAAGTCTAGAATGCCTTGATTCTACAGTCCTGTGACTCACTGATTCTGCTTCTGGGGTCTGAGGACTGGGGATGACTTGGTTGCACAGCTCTGCCCTGCAGGGCCCTGGCCTAGCACCTAGACATAGCCCAGCCTATAGTCTGCACAAATTTTATTTCTACCAGTGGATTTCGCCTTGCTCATCATGTGCCCTCAGCCTCATGGGCAGTCTTGTGGCCACAGGTGGCCCTGCCAGCTGTCCCTGACCTCTGCTCTGCACCTTCACCTGGAGCAGAGCAGTGCAAGCCCCTCCAGCTAACTCCTTCTTCACACCTATGGTCCCCTGACAATGTCACATGCTGTGCAAGTTGGCAGGGCCAAGAGGGGCCACAGATGCCAACACAAACACCATTCCTGTGGAGAGAGAAGAGCCCATGGGTGTTATTTTTAACCTGCTGATTAGAGGCCACAGCTCTGCCCCTGGGAGTCCTGGGACTAGGGGCTCTGAGGGGGATGTGAGCTGTCAGGCCTCATCTCAATGACTCCCAAGGGTATTGGGCTGCAGAAACCCCAGCCCTTCTACCACTCTGATGGAGAAGTGGGAAAGGGAGACACAGATCAAGACATGCCCCATCTTGCCCACTGGTTTCAACTGGGGCTGAACCCAGCCAGGAAGAGCAAGGGTGCCACAAATCACAGAACATTAAACCTAGAGATGGGTCCGCTCCAGTCCCTGCGTTATACAGAGAAGGAAACTGAGATCTGACGGGAGGAGGCCCAAAGTCACACTGCTGGTCAACACTAGCTTCCTACCCCCTTGCCCACCTGGTGTAGACCTGGAGCTTGACAAGGACATTTCTATAACTCTCCAAGACTACATCCTGGGGGTCACCTTGCTCCACCCTCTGCCCGAGTGACCCACCTTGCCTCTGCCCTCTCCCCAGTCTGCCCTACCCCAATGGGCTGAGCTTCTGACAACCCCATGATGAGGGCCCCAGGCCCTGGCTCACAATGCAAGGACTTCCTAAGTGCCCAAGCAGTGCCCCCTAGAGGCTAGTGGTAGCAGTGGTCAGTACAGCGGGCAGCGCCATCATGGCTGGAGGCCCAGGAGAAGACGTGCAGGCCAGGGCGTGCCTGTGTGGGGGGAACAGGACCTAGCTTCTGCCAAGGGCCCGCTGCCGGCTGTTGCTGAGCTTGTGCTCGCCAGAGGAGGGGGGCGGCAGGCAGACAATGGACCCCACGGCCCAGCCTCCTGGCCTTGGCCCCTTGAGCTGGGCAGGCAGCCGCTGGCCAAAGCAGCCGCCTCCATTGGTCCCTCACGTAGCCCACGTCCTGCCTGCTGGGTGGCCCTTATCACCGGGTACGTGCCAGAGTTCCACATGCCCACACTCCACAGTGGGGAGGGGACTAGGGGCCCAGGAGGAATGGGACCAGTGGGAAGTTAGGCTTCCAGTTTCCCTGCATCCCACTCCCAAGGAAGGGTTGAGCAGGCCCTGAGTACCCCTTGATGAGTCTCTAGTTCTCAGAGAGATCTTAGCCTCATCTCGCCGAGTCCCAACTCTCAACAACTGTTCTCCCCTTGGACTGAGGGGTTGGGTGAAAGAGAAGAAAGAAAGAGGCCAACAGCTTCATTTGAATGCTCTAGGTCACTAGTTCACAAATACCAACTGTTCCTCTTAACAAGCTTATACAAGAAGTAGTGTTATACTATGCTTACTACTATCTGGGGAAACAGGCACAGAGAGGTTGAGTAACTTACCCACAACCGTACAGCTGGTAGGGAAAGAGTCAGCACTCAAACCCAAGCAGACTGACTCCAGAGTTAAACCACTCCTCAACACAGCAGGGACGGGACTGGCTGGTGCTCAGCCCTCTACCCCACAGAAATGATGGCTTTGGGAGCAGACAGACATGGGCTCAGGCCTGGAACTGCATGCTCTAGGGCCACTGAAAGCCCTCTCCAGGCCAACGTTTCCTTACCTGTGAAATGGGCGCAGTGATATAGTGAGGAAGGCACAGCCACATGTGCCTCACTGGTGGAAGCTGCTGCACAAATGCTCCTCCCCTTCACCCAGCAGAGCTCAAAGCTTCCTTTGACTGAATAGTCAAAATGTCTTCTGACTGGCTGCCTGAAGCCCACCATCCCAGCCTCCACTTCCTCTGTCCAAACCTACAGAGTAGCTCCATTCCCTGGCACTTGAGCTCTGCTGCAAGCCCCTAGCATGCCCAGTCAGGTAGCCCCGGCACGCTTGCTCAGCCCACGCACTGCTGTTTAACCTTCCACAGGCATTGGGTTCTCCCTGTCTTCCCCCCAGGAAGACTGTGAGTGCCCACTGGGGGGCCAGGGGAGGATGGGGCCGGATGAGCCCCTGCCTCCCCGGTATGCGCACACATGCACAGTCAGGCCTTATTCAAGGAGCTTGGACCCTGGGCCCAGTCTCAGTTGGCTACCAGAGCTGTGAGGCTAGGTACACACCTCACTAGGCCTCACTGGGCCTGTTTCCTCATTTGTCAAAAGGACATCTACATCCCCGGCTGGTAAAGACACAGTGAAGCCACATCTGGGACACACCCCTCACAGAAGACTTCCTCGTAATTTCTGCTAGCAGATTAGGACTACAGTGTGTGTGGGCAGGGAAGGGGTCTGGCTGGGAGAACAGGAGAAATGGACATAGACGTCAGAGAAGGCAGGAAGCAGAGGGATTTCCCCACCATGATGAGGCTGCCCAGGCAGGGGAAGAAAGGCCGTGGGGGCTGAGTCACTGGCTGTGTCTAATCTGCTGCTTCCCAGTCACTGACAATGAAGTGACCACAGGCGGATCACAGGAGGGAGGTGGCCAAACAGGACAAGAAAGGGAGCTGCAGGGACTCTAGAGGAAGCAGCCTGAGAGGCAAGGCTCAGCATCTGCTTCAGAGGGACCCCGAGCTGATGGGGTAGCAGACATAGCTGCTGCCTTCAGTGAGCTCCCAGTCTGACGGGGGAGACATTCTTTTCTCTCAGGAGAGAAAGGAGCTCTGCCTTCAGGGAACTCCCAATCTGACAGGGAAGTTTTATCACCTTCTGCCTTAAG